GCCTGGGATTATAGCAAATGCGGGGCACACCAGCAAGTCCTCCAAAAAATAAAACAAGATTTATTTGGACTGCCAATATAGCAATCACGTGATGATTCCAGGGTAACTTCCTCGCCTCGTTCAAGTTCATCTAATCAATTTTTGTCAGATAATTCTGGCAATATCTGCATAAAAAATTCCAAAGTACTTTTTATTTACTATCAAAATGTTAGAGGCCTTAACACCAAATTAACTGACGTATACAATTCACTTGCTGGTTGTCACTATGATGTAGTTGCTTTTACTGAGACATCCTTGAGTGAGACTGTTCAAAATTCTGAAATCTCCGGTCCTAATTATGTTATTTATAGAAGTGACCGCAAATATTCTTCTCTTGATTGTGAAAGAGGAGGAGGTGTTCTTCTTGCTGTAGATTCAAATTTAAGATCTCACAAATATAAACTTGACAGTTTAAACTTTAGTGCATTACCAGTAATTGATGTATTGGTTGTAAAAATTTGCATGGCTCATGGTACTCTTAATGTTATTGTAGTTTATGTTCCTCCAGCCCCAAGAGTTAGTGCCGGTGATGTAGAACTGTTTTTTGAACTTCTTTCCTCATTATGTTTATTACTAGGTAATAACATAATCATTCTTGGGGACTTCAATATACCAAGTTACTCTGCTTATTTAGTAAATTTTCAATTAAAAGATTCAAAAACTAATTCACTTCTTTACTTCTTAAATTTAACTAATTATCATCAATATAATTATATTACAAATAATTACGATAGATTATTATTAGATCTAGTTTTATCAGATAAGCAGTGTGTAATTGTGAAAGCTAGTGACGTATTACTTAACGAAGACGCCCATCACCCGAGTTTAGAAATTGAAACAAACTGCCTCAAGTTGTGTCATGGTAAATATTTGTATAATGGCAATTTTAAAACCTATAATTTCAGAAAAGCTGATTTTTATCAGTTGTACAGCTTACTCCTGAACACAGACTGGTCCTTTATTACTAGCTGTACTGATGTAGACATTGCGTGCTCCTTTTTTTACTCCAAATTAAACAACATATTTGAGTTGTCAGTTCCTAAAAGCAGACGATTCAAAAAACGTCAATACCCACCATGGTTTAATCGCCACATTATTCAAAAACTTAAGCTAAAATGGAAACTTTGGGCTATTCATAAACGTAGTAATGATGTTGAATCCTATAATAAATTCAAAAATTTAAGAGCTGAGATTAAAAATGAGATCAAACTGTCCCATATCGCATACATGCAAAACATCGAAAGCAATATTCCTTCTGATCCGAACCTTTTCTGGCAGTATATTAAGAGCTTTAAACAAGAAAATCTCATACCGAATTCGATGACGTACAACAATAAAATTATAAACGGTCCTATAAACATCGTTAATTCATTTGCTGACTTTTTTCAGCAATCTTTTATCCCATCTGATCCCTCTGGTGCAATTTTCTCCTATCACTGTACCTCAGTTTTTAGAAAATTTTTCAGTGAAGAAGAGGTTCTCCACATTCTGCAAAAGATGAAAAACAAAATGACATCTGGGCCTGACGGCATCCCGTCTTTTCTATTAAAGGATTGTGCAAGCGTCCTCGCTTTTCCATTAATGATTATCTTTAATCTTTCGATTAGTTCTGGAATATATCCTACCCTTTGGAAAGAGTCATACGTTTTTCCTGTCTTCAAAAAAGGAAACAAAAGCGAAATAGAAAATTATCGGCCCATAACGTTGCTGTGTAACTTTTCTAAAGCATTTGAAACATTATTACATAATGCTATTGTTCATCATATTGGAACATATATCACCCCATTACAGCATGGCTTCTTCAGAGGTAGATCTATTGAGACTAATCTTTGTTGTTTCACTCAATTTGTTGCAGAATCATTTGATACTGAAGCCCAGGTTGATTGTATTTATACCGATTTCTCAAAGGCATTTGACAGATTAGACCACTTTAAGCTACTAAATAAATTAAGCTCTTTCGGTATATCAAATGCATTTATCAAATTATTCAAATCCTATTTAATTGGTAGAACGCAAACTGTCACTCTTAGTGGTTTCCACTCGGATCAAATACATGTCACCTCGGGGGTTCCACAAGGGTCAATTCTTGGGCCTTTGTTTTTCATTATGTTCATTAATGATATAGTATCTAATCTGGATTCTCAATGTCTTTTATATGCTGATGACCTGAAAGTATTTAGAAAAATATCATCTTTTTCAGACCACCTTAAACTTCAATCTGATTTAAGAAAAATTGAAGTAATGTGCCTCCAAGAAGGGCTTCCTCTAAATATTTCGAAGTGTGGTGTAATGACGTTCTCATTGAAACATAATAATAGCATTTATATGTACCATATAAGTGACTCGGCGCTTCAACGGTTTGTCACAATTAAAGATTTGGGAATCATTTTTGATACAAAGTTATCATTTTCAGAACATTATGATTCAATAGTAGCATCAGCGCTAGGAGCTTTAGGATTCATAATTCGAAGCAGCAAGCATTTTCAGAACAACAAGACTCTCCTCTGTTTATATTTTGCATTCGTGAGATCAAAATTAGAATACGGTTGCACTATTTGGTCTCCCGGTTATAATACGCACTGCCTCAAAATAGAGAATTTACAACGCAAATTTTTAAAATTTCTCCACTTTAGAGCATTCGGTTTTTATCCGGACAGAGGTTTTCCTCATGATACTCTGCTATCCATTTTCTCAGTTCAGAGGTTAAAAATGAGACGTGTTATTTTGTCTTTATGTTTTCTCTTTAAGCTTGTAAATGGTAAAATTGATTCAGACGTACTATTGGGAAAATTGTCTTTCTTGGTACCTAGACTTAATACCAGAAATCCAGAATGTTTTTACGTTGAATTTTCAAGAATAAACGTACATATGTTTTCACCTATTGTCACTATGTGTCGTAACTATAATTTATATAGAAATCATTTTGACCTATTCAACAGCAGTATCCGCCAAATTAAAAGTTTGCGTTTATAATTTTGAATTAATTTTCTCTCGTTTTTTTTTATTCTTAATTCTTTCCCATCCTTATAAATGGTTTATCTGTTAGGATGGCTAAATAATAATAATAATAATAATAATAATAATAATAATTAATCATTACTTCCCTATTCCTCAGCATACCGGCCACCCACCTACTTAGGGTGGGGTCCACGTCGTGCTCTCGTAGGGCTAGCTCTATGCTTTTGAAGATCGTTTTATCAAACGCTCCTTCAATATCCAAAAACATTCCTAAGGTGAAGAGTTTGTTCTCCATCGCCCGCTCTATACGGTTTACAACTGTGTGTAGGGCCGTATCGGTGGATCTTCCTTGGATGTAGGCATGTTGGTTCGGATGTAGAGGTTGCTTGCTCAAAGCAGTCTCCCGAATCTCTTTTTCGCTTAGTCTTTCTAGCGTTTTCAGCAAGAATGATGTTAAGCTAATTGGTCTGTAGGATTTAGCCAAGGTGTAATCTTGTCGTCCTGGCTTAGGTATAAAGATAACCTTTACTTTTCGCCATGCATTCGGTATGTAGCTGAAAGCCAGACACGCCCGAAACATTGGCAACAAAATAGGGCGTAGTCTGCATTTAGTCTCCTCTGCAGGAGGGCGGGATAAATACCGTCAACTCCTGGAGATTTGTATGGGGAAAAGCTGCGGACTGCCCACTCCAGTCTTGCCTCCGTGACTACCTTTGCCGCCAGCGCCCAGTCCTTTGGGGAAGGTTGAGTACCGGCTACATCCCTTTTGGAATGGGAGGTAGTCCTTGTGCTGCCTGGAAACATGGTCTGCAGCAAAAGTTCTGCGGACTCTTCTAAGGTGGCTGTAAAGGTGCCATCTTCTTTCTTTAGGAAACCTAGTTGATGTGTGTGGTCCTTCGAGAGAACTCTCTTCAGCCTTGCGGCCGAAGCAGTCGACGTTATGTCGCTGCAGAAGGATCTCCACGTTTCCCGTTTCCTCTTTCTTAATTCTTTCTTAAACTCTTTACGGTGCTCTTTATAGGCTTCCCAGTCTTCAGTTTTCTTAGTGTTTTTTGCTCTATTGAAAAGTTTTCTTAGCCCCGATTGAAGTAGACTGAGCCTTCGGTTCCACCATGGTGTACCTTTGCCCAGACCTTCCTTCTTTAGGGGGCAACTTTTTTCATACGCTGACATTAGAGAGTCGTTGATAATGGTCAAGGTTTTCTCTATGTCTTCTGTCGATCTGTATTCTGTTGGTATAGACTGCACGGAGGTCCCCAGTCTGTCGTCCAGTTCTTCGTTGTATAAAGCCCAGTTCGTCAGCCTAGGGTTCCTGTACGTCTTTGTCTCCATGTCTATACATTTTGATGTATACGTGATCCATCTATGGTCTGACACTGACGCCTCTTTAGAGACGTGCCATCCCATTATATATTGTGAGATATCCCATGTAGCCAGTGTAATATCTATTACTGACTGACTACGTGATGTTACGAAAGTTGGTTCGCAGCCTCGGTTGAGAATCTCTAGATTTGTTGATGAAAGATATTCAGCGAATGTTCTTCCTCTATCATTAGTGTCTTTGCTCCCCAACAACAGACAGTGGGCATTCGCATCGGCACCGATGATGAGGTTTATATTTCCGGTATCAAGTACACGGATGCTATTACCAGTTGCTCTTCGCCTCTTCCTATGTTACACTTAACATTTACCGCAGTCACATCCCTGGAGCTGACCTGAGGTAGGAGGACGGCTTTAATTTTCCTCGGAATGTAGACGCATGTCCTTGGAGATTCTATTGTGGTACCTGAAACAACAGTGCCATTTAAATTGCTCAACCCTGCGATCCTGGATTTTACTATCCATGGTTCTTGAATTATTGCTATACATGTTAGAGTTATGCCTGCTCATAAGAACGGATCTAGACATAATATATTAAATTTTTTAGATTATTACATCCGTTTTTGTTAAGACTAGGTGTTATTAATTTATAGTCAAATAAATGACTCGGAAAAAATGAAAAGTTTTAATGAGATAGTTTTTATATTAATAGAATAAAATACAATGTCTGTAAATAAACGTGTTTTATATATTGAAATTTCAGCAAAAATTACGACAACTTTTGACATATTCCATCCTTACATATCAGTCCTGCAGCACATTTTTCGGATGGTGGCCTTGCACCCCTTATTTGTGTCATCCAGCAGCTTTCGTTTTGTTCTAAAAGCATATGTTGTGATACATAAATAAAAATCAAGCAGTACACCGGGTGTTTCAAATGTTATTCAACAGAAAAATCTGTCATATTATTGAGAAGACGACAAAAAGATAAAAGCGGAAACACGATATTGAATGGTAGGTTTATAGAATACAGCCACGAGCAGAAACGACTAACAAAATAATATCTGAGACACTCGATATATGTATAAACATAATAAATAGGTTTAGAACTAGCCAAAAGTAATTAAGATACGAAATATAAGTGAAGGAAATAATTTATCTAGTAATTTTAAAAATTAAATTAGTTTATATTATATTTTTTGTAGTTTTATTATTGCAAAAAATAATGGAGTATCTTTGTTTATTATATACTACCCAGTGTGTGTGTGTTTATTTGTTTAAACTTCCTTTAGCCAATAAAACGTCATATTTTTTAGAAAATAAATGCTTTTCCGTTAAAAAATATATTAAACATTAAGAAGTGGATAACTTACGCAAAATATGAATGCACTGTTTACAACATCCACAAAAACCTCCAGGTCCTATCTCGTAATTGGGGCAATCACATTTGGGAGGCGGCTTACAAGTGACATTTTGGCATGGATGTGGAGGACATACAAGTAGTTCCTCTGTTCTAATGTTCCAAATCCACAGAAAAGTAAAAAGGATTGAAAAAACTATGGAGTTCATGATTAAAAATTTAAATCAAATTATGATTTTAGCTAAGATTTGTACCATGTGAACGACAAATATAGGTAAGTTAAAATGAAATTATTTGTTTAAATAATCTCTTTTAAAATGGCAATAACGCCACATGAATGTTAGTTTACCTTCAACAATGTTGATAAAATTTTATTCGATATTTTAAGTAGCAAATAGGCATGCAAATGATAAAGTGAATTCTATATTAGTTATGGTAAAAATGTGTTATTTATGTTTTTATTTAAACAAGCAAACAGCGTTTATTATAAAAAAAAAAGCTCAAAGCAAGTGACGTATATTATAATATAAAGGTGATTTATGCTACCGTCATATCCAGTGTGCAGATAACGGAATATAAACACAAATACTTTTTTCTACAATCGTGTAAAAAATGACTCATATGTCAATGGTTTAGAGTGCAAAAAGTGGCACTTTCTTGCACTAGTGCAAGAAAATTTTTATTGTACTTTAATGTCAACCTAATCAACGTCAAATTTGATGTATATCCATATTTTCTTTCACTGAAAAGGAAGCACGTATCATGGAATATTCGGACTAGAGGGTAGAAGACTTTACCTTCGTTGACCGATTGGAAAAATAAGCCAGAAGCACGGTTTCTGTTTACTGCACAACATTTTTGTCTGCACTCCAAAGAATGAACCGGTTGTATGTCAGATCGTATTGTTTTGTGGGATTTCTCGGGCAATAAATTAAATATTTCCGCATTGGCCCTCTCGGTAATTTCATTTTCGCTCGAATCGCTCTTTTTGGGGTCAGCACGGTTCAAAAGACTCACTCACTACTTATTTATGGCGTTTTATTTTATTTTGCAAATTAGTTTTTTTGGAAACGTTGTTTGGTTGTCATGATAGTCACGACTAACTAACATAAGACAGCATGACGATACATTTTGGTTGTTGTAGAATTTTATTTAAGTTTCCAATAAAACTTGTGCATTATACCCACGATTGTAGAAAAAATGTCATTTCGATATATTAGAAATACCTAACTGAAAGCAAGGCTTCCAATTTCTGTGTCAATAACAGAAAGTTTTACGTGTTTGGATCACGTCACATTTATAAAGAAAAGAAATAGGGAAGTAATTACATAAATTCATCTACGCTAAACATCAATTATGAAGAGTCGGTTGCCTATGTTTAACAATTTTTTTGATGGATTTTTTTTTTCAAATTCAAATTTTTCAAATGTGATTTTGTGCCGCTGTTAACTAATTTCAGTGCGAAAATTTGATTCAAATTCGTTCACCACAATACATATAAATACATATACGAAATAAGCAAAACAACACATAAAATACGCAAAATAAATAAAACATAGGCAATCATTGGTGCATATTCGCTTTGAATTGTGAAAGCTGCTGGATGACACAAATAAGCTGAGCAATTCCACAAAATGTATATCAGTGTTGTACTACACTTTATGGAAATACAGTCGAACTTCAATAAGGCGAACAAAACTGGTTTGTAATAGCGATGGATAATTCGAACATCCATAAATAGTTAGAATTTCTCGATAAGTCCGTGCTTGGCAGTCACGCTGTTCGCATCGTGCTGTGGGTTTTTGCTGTTTTCTCTGGTCTTATCCATGAGAAATTTTCGAAAAGTTTTGTATTTGTGGGTGCGGTGACGTCCGTCTTGCACAACAGTTCTAACGATATCTGGCCGTCGATTTGGTGAGATCTTTTCATTTTGTTTCTCCACGTGCTCGCTTTAAATTATATATTATCGTAGCATTTTTTGGTGGTGATAAGGCCAGCGGCCGGCCTTGTTCTTAGGCGGTTCGCTGTCCCTCAATCGGCGAAATTTTATCACCACTTGTGATATCCTATCTATTTCTTTTTCGGACCTAAAAACTGAACTAGTAACAAGTTCTGAAAATCAGGTTAGGTTCCTGATCCTAAACCTGTTGCATCCTTCTCAGTCATACTGAAAAACAAAACTACACCCGTGATATTAATTGAACCCAAAAATTCTGACCATGATTCCGTTCAGACAAAATCAGATCTCACATCTTATATCAATCTCCTAGATTCCTAGATGCCAATCTGCAGTTTGAAAAACTAAAGAGTACAAAAAAAGGTGGCATATCAACTAATTGAAAACTTCCAACTTTAACATTACGGGGCATATTTAACGATCTCGTCTACACTTTTAAAATCCTCAATCGTAAGCTTAGTGTAGATCTTTCCACCATCTTTGTTCTTGCTGGTGTATCCCGCCTTCGTGGTCACTCAAAAAAGCTGTTTCATGAAAAAATATAAAACGAAATGGCCACAGCAATTTCTAACCAGCCGTGTGTTTAAAATTTGGAATAGTCTTGATGTAGAAAATATAAATTCCAATAGTGTGCTAGTTTTTAAAACCAGACTAAAAGATTATCTTGATGTGCCCGTAGCGTAATATAATAACGAGAACAATCTTCTCTTGGAGACAATCAGTAATTATCTAGCTGCTGTATTTTGTTCCTTCGGATGAGCATAATAGGTTTTTACCTCTGCTCGATATTTGTATAATAATATTATTAACAATAATAATATTAATTCGAATTAAAAATATATAAATTTTTACACTTTACATAAGTAGTCTAATATGTGTAACTTTTTAACTCAGATTATTATGCCTAGTTTTCTTAGTCATTTTCTTATTTTTAGTCCAGTCACTTTAGCATAAAAAAGGGTTCAACCTCGGAATGAGAGATAATAAGCTGAATTTTTGTATATACCTTAATTTTGTCATTCTAAAAGTTGTCTCAAAAGTCTTATAAAATCTCGTGTCTGCGTCGTAAGTTATTCAAGGTCAAAGGTCAAGAAAACAGTTTTTCGCGATTATCTCGGTTTTTATTGCTCCAATGATGTTAATGTCCACTAGAATAATTGTAGAGCATAAAATTTGGGACAAATTTTATTTGAAACATTTTTTTATGCGCTCATCTATACGTACTGTAATGCAATCAACTGTGAATATCTGTGAATATTACCTTGAATTTTGAATAAATTGTATTATTTATCAGTTAATACATTGTATTTAATAACATTTTATATATTTTCAACATATTCATTGAATAATAAATACTTAACTTTGTATATTCAAAAACTCATTTCATGAAATACTGAGTTTTTGCATTTTTAAATTTTTTGTTGTCGATTTTTCAGTTTCTCGATTTTTATTTCGTCCGTTTTTCAGGTTTCAATGTTATAATTTTTAGATTTGACAGTTTTTCGTTTTTTCGATTTTTCCATTTTAAGATAGGTATTTTTATTTTTTGATTTTTCAATTGTTTATTTTTTCGTTATCCGACTTTTTACTTTCAACATTTCGGTATTTCAAATTTTTTTTATTGTTCAACGTTTCATTTTTTTCAATTTTTCAGTTTTCGATTTTTTAATTTTACAGTTTTTCGATTTTTCCATTTCTAGAAAATTTTGTTTTCCGTATTTTTCTATTTCTCGATTTTTAGTTATTCAGTTTTTCGATTTTACAGTTTCTTTTTTTCAATTTTTCAAATTTTCAGTTTTTTCAATTCTCGAGGTTTTCAGTTTCTCAAGTTTTAAAATTACAATTTTTAAATTTCTCGGTGTTTCAATTTTTCTATTTTTAATTGTCAATTTTCCATTTGTTCGATTTTTCTGTTTTTTAAATTTTCAGTTTTTTTCATTTTTAAGGTTACAATTTTTCCTTTTCCAATTGTTGACCCCTTAATTATTCCATTTTGAGTTTCTTTATTTTTGCAGTTCTTTGATTTCTCAAATTTTAAATTGTTCGGTTTTTCAATGTAACTTTTTCGCTTTTCCAGTTTTTAATTTTTTGATTTTTCAATTTTTCAGTTTTACAATTTTCCGATTTTTTGATTTTTTAAAATTTCACTTTTAATAAGTTTGTTGAAAAATTAAAAAACAAAAAATTGAGAAAATTAAAAATTAAAAATAAAGAACTTCCATGTATGTAATTCCAAGTTTTTTCGTTTCTTCGATTTTTTATTTTCTCAATTCGAGATTTTTAAATTTTTGTTTTTTTCAATTGTTAATTTTTCGATTTTTCCGTGTTTCGTTTTTACATTTTTCAATTCTCGATTTTTTAGTTTTTCGATTTTCATTATGATTTTTATTTTTCAGTAAAATTTTTGTATGTTTCGATTTTTTAATTTGCAGATATTTTAATTTTGCCATTTTCCAAGTTGTTTTTTAATTTTTCGATTTTCCATCTTTTTACAATTTTTCATTTTTTCGAATTTTCAATTTCTCAATTTTTAAGGTTTCAATGTTACAAATTTTCGATTTTACGTTTTTATTTTTTTTTCAAATTTACAATTTTGTAATTGTTTCATTTTTAAATTTTCCGATTTTCAATTTTTCACTTTTTTCAATTAATTATTATTGGGATTTTTTTCAAGTGTACAATTCTTGGCTTTTCAATTACCCGATTTTTCAGTTTCTGTATTCTTTCAAATCTTTGATTTCTCGGTTTTTAAATTTTTCGGTTTTTCGGTGTTTCGTCTTTTCGGTGTTACAATTTTTCAATTTTTCCTTGTTTCTTTTGTACAATTTCTTAATTTTTAGTTTTCCGGTTTTCATTTTAAAATTTTTGGTTTTTGAAATTATTTTTTTTTGTATTTCTGATGTTTAATTTATGGAAGTTTTTGTTTTTCGTTTGTTCAACTTTCTCGATTTTTAATTAATCAGGGTTTTCAGGTTTCAATATTACGATTTTTCGGTTTTTCAATTGTTTTTTCAATTATCCCATTGTTCGATTTCTCAATTTTTTCATTTTTCGATTTTTCAATTTTTCGATTTTTCGATATTTCAAGTTTCATGTTTCAGTTTTTAAGTCTTATTTTTTCGGTTTTTTCAAGTTTTCTTTATTTTTTCAATTTTTCGATTTCCCAATTTTTTGATTTTTCAATTCAATTCAAAATTTCGAGTTGAATAAATTTGTCCTTCTGTTGAACAATTAAAAAATGAAAAATCCAATTCAATTTCTCAATTTTTTTCATTTTTCGATTTTTTAGTTTTTCGATATTTCAAGTTTCATTTTAAAATATTTGGATTTTGAAATCAAAAATGTTTGTATTTTTGATTATAATTTAATTTATAGTTTTTTGTTTTCGTTTTTTCAATTTTCCAATTTCTCGATTTTTAATTAATCAGGGTTTTCAGGTTTCTATATTACAATTTTTCGATTTTTCAATTATCCACTTGTTTAATTTCTCATTTTTTCATTTTTCGATTTTTCAATTTTAAAATTTTTCGATATTTCAAGTTTCGTTTTTCAATTTTTGATTCTCATTTTTTCGGTTTTTTCATTTTTATTTTTTTTTTAATTTTTCGACTTCTCAATTTTTTAATTTTTTGATTTTCAATTTTTCAATTTGATAATTTTTTTCAATGTTACAATTTTCTGATTTTTAAATTTTTAAATTTTTAAAAATTTCGGTTTGAATAAATTTGTCCGTTTGTTAAATAATTAAAAAATGAAAAATCGAGAAAATAAAGAATTAAAAATTAAGAATTTGAAAAATTTTTTATCGAAAAACTGCTAAATTGTTTCTTTTTGTTGATTTTTTCAATTTCTCGATTTTTAATTATTTTGTTGTTGATGTTTCAGTGTTACAATTTTTCGGTTTTTCAAAAGTTCAGTTTGAATAAATTTGTCCTTTGCTGAACAATTCAAAAATGGAAAATTGAGAATTTGAAAAATATTATATCGAAAAATTGCAGAATTGTTGCGTTTTGTCGATTTTTCAATTTCTCGTTTTTTAATTTTTGCATTGGTGCTACAGTTATTCGATTTTGCAAAATTTCATTTTGATAAAAATTGGAAATCAAGAACTTGAAAACTTTAATTTCATGTTTCAATTTCGGGATTTTTTATTTTTTCGTTTCTCCAATTTTTGAATTACCGATTTTGCAGTTTTATTTTTAATTTTTCCATGTTTTTACAATGTTTCAATTTTTCGGTGTCTCGATTTTTTAGTTTCTCGATTTTCATTTTGAAATTTTTGGATTTTTTATTTTAAAATTTTTGTATTCCTCATTGTTTCAATCATACAATTTTCCGATTTTCCAATATTTTAGTTTGGATAAATTTGTTCTTTTGCTGAAAAATAGAAAAACACGAAGTTTAAAAATTAAAAAACTGAAAGTTTAAAACTCAAAAAATTGTAAAGTCGGAAAACTAACAAAGCAAAAAATGGAATAATTGAAAAATCGTAAAATCGAAAACTGGAGAATCTGTAAAAGTAACAAATCGGTGCCGATTAAAAAAAATGCTCCCACACAATAATAAATATAAAAACAAATCGTATGGTTTTTCCTAGATCTATGTTATTGGAAAATGAACACTTGAATACACACGATGAATAATATTTGAGTTGGCGTCAGTTGAATGTGTTTTGTTGTGATTGGTCGGCGCGCGTGCGGAAATTAATGTGTGCTAAAAAACAAGGTAGAATTTGACTTTTTGCCTGACTTTTAACCCTTTTTTCTAACTCAGATTTTCCCAAAAACATCAATTTTTTAAAAAAATGAGTTGATTTTCAAGTTTTAGACGTTGAGGTTTGTTGAGTTTGAAAAACAGCCCATTGAGGTCTTTTCAAAAACACAAAAAATAGATTAAATGATCTGTTTTTAAGCACATTTTATCTATTAAAACATCGATTTTTATGGAAACGACCCTATTCTTTATAGTCTTTTTAAAAATGTGAGCCAGATTTTTATGCTAAAAGTAAGGAAAACTACCCTGTTTTGTAAATATTTCTTAAAAAATTTGATCCAGACGTAACAACTGAATCTGTGGTTTTTGTTAAAAATAATGCATAGAAAATATGAAGATGACTAAGAAAATGATTATTATATTAGACGATTTTAAGGTACCCCTTTTTAAAAGTAAAAATTTTAAGGAATCTATCCTGTTTTTTCAAAGGTGAATTCGATTTGGCCAAACAAATTCACCTTTGAAAATGATTAAAATTTAAGGATTGCTAATTAATACTCTTCTATAATTTTATTGTATAATCTCAAAGTAACTTACCTAATACAAAAAAGTAGATACCTACATAATATAATTCACATTCACACTCTAAAATTTTACACTGACGAAAGTACTGCAATATATATAAAGGTATTACTGACAACAAGGATAATTTAACTTTATAATACAGATTTTTATCACCTTTATACTTTGCAATTAAATATTTGTTTATATAACTTTGGAGGAGTCTATATAATTTTCCATTTTTCTTACTTAAAGGAGAGAAGATGTCCTCAAATAGTTTTTCTTCTGCTTCCTCCTGTATTTCTTCTATGTAGATCAAACCTAAATACGTTGATAGTTTATCCATAAAAATTAAAACATCAACATTTGGTACCATTCCAATATTTATAGTTTTGTTAGTGTGAAGTTTCAACATTGGTTTCTATTTGAGGTGTCCCCTGACCCTATATCAGAATCAGATTATGTGCTTGTGTTCGATTCTGAACTATCCTTAATCGTGGATAATTCATATAAGTGTTGATAGCCAATCCTGTTTACTTTTGATATTACTTGATTGGAAAATTTATATTCTGGTGCAATGTTAAAAGGTGGTGAAAGCAGTTGTTTTCTCACTTGAATGCTTGTGCTACTTCTAACTTCTTCTTCCATTGAATTCTCATACTTGTGAGAGTGAAGGAAACAATACAAGATGTCTTTATCAAAATTTTGTGTTAATACATGTTCATTTATGTGTTTTTAAACCTTTCTAATATACCTGAATATAATTTTTGTAAAGTAATTTTCTTAATTGTTTTTGCTCTGAAGTAAATTCCAAGTCTGGGGGAGCACCTTCAATGTTTTTAAAATCCATTATAAAAACAAAAACTGATACCTTCACTAAAAAAATAAAAAAAGTGATTGGCCTTTGTGCATGTACTTTTTTCCATTGCTTTTTTAAAGCACCGAAAATACGTATCCTCCAATCGCAAATTTAATAACAATATTTTTGGCTAATAAAGCAAAAAGTTATTTGAGATGTTCCCTTTTAGGTAAGCAGTTCACAAAATTGTGTACACGCTATAATCGAGAATACTTGACTCCATTATTTAAAAACTAATACACTTTTATGGTCCTATAAACTACATAAAATTGGTGTAGCATGAACAAAATAATTACCTAACTACATAAAACTATACAAAAATTCCACGCGACACGTAAGTGTTGTTTAGAAAACAACGACAAAAACCATAAAACGTAATTACTGATCGGAGCAACGATTAGTAAAATACGGAACATTTCATCAGTATTTACTCAGTTTTATCTAGAAGAATTAACAATAAATTGTTAATTGAAGCCTTAATCCAGTTAATACTAGGCTATTTGATAAAAACCACAGTCTTATGGGAACAAAATACTTTACCTGTATTGTACTCCGTGGCTGTGTCGGACGTAACTGCACCCAAAATAAGGTAAGTACAGCAAATTGAGAGAAATTAGTTTAACATTGTGGCATTGAGTTTTAATTAAATTAATCTCAATTGCCACCAATTGGTGTCCGAATTGTTCAGACCAGACCGTATTTTAAAGTGTTAGTTTGTATCTGGTATTTTCACAAATGAATAACATAAACGCTAAATTATGGATATCTCAGAATGTTTAGGTAATAATTCACATTATCTTAATCTTGTATCAACAGATTCTGACACAGATTTCATGAGGATGGGTCTGCGCACGATTACCTTCCGCCAGGTAGTCGATACTCTATCGAGGAAGAAAGTTGTCGAATTTGAAAGTGGTACCAAATTGGCAAAAGTTTTGACTACGTTAGATTTGACAGCATTAGGAGTAGGTAGCACTCTGGGAGTTGGAATCTACGTGTTAGCAGGAGATGTGGCTAAAAACAACGCAGGACCTGCAGTCACGGTATCCTTTTTTATTGCCGCTGTAACATCTATTCTGGCAGGTACAATTTCGTTTTACAGGAAATAAATAATCAGAGGAAATTTAATTGGTATTTGTAGGTTTATGTTATGCAGAATTCGGAGCTAGGGTGCCAAAGGCAGGATCGGCTTATGTTTATAGTTATGTCTGCATAGGTGAATTTTTCGCGTTTGTAATAGGATGGAATTTAATTCTGGAATATTTGATTGGTATGCTGTTATGTATATTTATTCTTCTAGAGTAGATATTATTCGGTTAAATTGAATTTCAGGTTCTGCAACAGTTGTTAAAGCGTTATTTCTCTATATCGACGAATTGGCCAATAATGTTATGTCCCAGTTCTTCCAAGAAAATATGCCTATAATGGAAGAAGGAGATTTGGGACAATACGCCGACATATTTTCCTTAGGTTTATCCATTGTGTTTTCTGGTGAGTGTTCTAGAAAGTTACGATTTAATTTATAGTGTAACATATACAGTAGTAACGATGGGGGTTTATCGTTTTATTAATTGAACGGATTAATCCGTAATTAATCCTCAAATATCTGGTTGACCGAGCGTCGCTCGGCTCGTTTGATAGTATTAGTTCAGATTAGCACATATAAATATATATGACTATTATGCAATCCTTACTATATTTCGTACGTGAACTCGGTCAAAAAAAATCGCTGTCGGAAACGTGACGACTGCATGTCTATTATGTTTTTTTTTCGCAGTGGATTTCAAAGAATTCGGTTTTGTAGTTCGTGAGTAAATCAATAAAATAAATTTACGCATTCATTAATTTTTTTGAGTCACCCTGTATATGCAAATCCAAAAAAAAATCAATGGAGTGATAAATCACAAGTACAGACTCATCATATTTTGTACAGTTTAGATAGGATTTATTCGGCAAACTTTCGAGCTGACGTCATCAAATTGTTGGAGGGGATAAGCAAATATATTTTGACTAAACATTTATTATGCTCTTTATGACCTTAAAACATCTGCAAGATTTCAGAGCATTCGGTTTTGTAGTTTCTGAGTAAATCAGTAAAATAAATTTACGCTTTCATTAATTTTTTTGAATCACCCTGTATATGCAAATCCAAAAAATATGAATGGAGTGATAGATCACAAGTACAGACTCATCATATTTTGTACATTTTAGATATGATTTATTCCACAAACTTTTGAGCTGACGTCATCAAGTTTTTGGAGGGGATAAGCAAATATTTTTTGACTAAAGATTTATGATGCTCTTTATAGCCTTAAAACATCTGCAACATTTCAAAGCATTCTGGTTAGCAGATTAAAAATTAAATTTCAAAATGTTGTTTTATAATTTTGATTTTTTTTCCAAAAATCTGGACGTTTCGGGTGAAAAGTCGATTCAGAGTTGTAAACTACATGTGTAGGACTATGTTATTTTATACAATTGAAAACCCATTTACTATGTACAATTTTGAAATGACGTCATCGCATTAGTGGTGGGGATGATTAGACAAATTTTGGTTAGCGTTTTACCATCTACATGATATTCTTAATATAAGTACGAAATTTCACAACAATCGGTCGAGTACTTTCGGAGATTATCTGTCTAATAAAAATCCGGGACGGCAGACGGACAGACGGACAGACGGACAGACAGACGGAAATGGGAGACCTATTTCTTCGTCTTCTAGGGGTCATGAAAGATCGAGAAAACGTAAAAGTAGAGAGTCGGCCGACGGACTCGATTACAATACTTCCTTTGCTTACGCTCGGGAAGTAATAAAATTCAAGTATGTATATCAGTCAACACTTTATTTTATGTAAATAATTAAATAATTAACAGCTACCTTTATAACTTAACCTAATACCTCCTTCCACACTATGTTGCGGGTATGTCGAGGATTTTCTTTTGGGAGGAGAATTTTTAATGTACTTGGTCGTTTCACTCGAGAAAATGCCACATACAGCATGCCATGCATAAAAACTGGTGATTTTAAGTCCACTCCAACAAACTCAAAAGTTTGACCCTGAGCTTTGTGTACTGTCATGGCAAATGCAGGTCTTACTGGGAATTGGTGTCGCTGCATGGTACATCCGAGTTGACCTTTTGATGAGTCCAGAGTAATTCTAGGTATATGTACTTATTAGCCAGATTGTTCACCAGTAACGATTTTTGCCTTTATTATGTTATTACACAGGCTTGTCACAATTTAGTCCTCTCTGTTGTTTAATTTTTTTATTATGTCTAAAATATGCTTCTAAAGTGGATCCTCTTTGACCAATATCGGCCAGATCTTCTTGGGCTTGATCTAAGTTTGCGATTCGATATTGACCTGGTAAATGTATGTTCAATCTTTGAACACTATGACTTTTTTTTTGAATTTCAAAAGCAAATAATCGCCAACATGCTTCTGGTGGCGTGACAGAGCGTCCTTCAATGTATGTGTTTGCCTCATTATAAATTAGCGTTCTTTGTTCTTCTACAACTTTAATCGATGCGCAATCGTGTCCTTTATAAATGTATTTGTAAAGATATTTTACAGCCAAAATACTCCCTACATACTCAACGTTAATATGGCAGTTAAATTTTTTCAATAAATATGCGTGGTAGGGAACTACATGGCGATTATCCCTTGTTATACGATGACCATTGATATCTTTACGATAAACGGCTTGTTCATGTAAAAACTGGGGACTTTGAGGGTCCAACTGCGAATTGTAGCGGCGTCGGTAATTCGGTTTACCATCATCGACCAAAGTTGTTACTTCCTGAAACGATTTAGGGAAGTCGAATCGACACTTTGTTGTTCCATTTTTATTAGCCATACATGTCGCATTAGGATTATGCTCTCCACATGGGTTGTGAATCATCCATTTCAGTACCAGTTGTCTTAACTCTAAGTCGTAACTTCCTGGTATTTCGGATGAAATCAAGTCATCGAGCTCTTCTGGTCGATGAATCTTATCATCAGAGGACATAATCACCAGTAAATGCATATGTGGTAACCCTCTTTTCTGAAATTCTATAGTATATACAAAAGCCGATACCTTTCCAAAAATCTGTTTTTTGTCCAAATCTTCTATTATTTGGTCGAATTTTGACTTAGCAACTCGGGCCACGATATCAGGACGATTCTGTGGAAGCTGCTCTAAGGTTGTCCCGTCTTCTAAATCTATTCGCAATGCCTGTTTAATTTCTGGCCAGTTAGGATTCGATGTCATGGTGATAAAGAAATCAGGTGATCCAAGATGTCGAACAATAGCCATTGCATCTTCAAAATTCTCTGTGTAATATCTTGTCGAACCAGGAAAGGAGGATGGGAAAATTATCTTTTCACCAATTATGGCATTTTTTTTTTCGGCTAGTTCATTAATGAAACGAGCTACTCCCGTATATTGTTCTCCGAGGATCTTGTTTTGATTGCATTTTATCCACGAGGAAATCAATAATAAAAGAACAACAACTGTTACATAATTTAAAATTTACATTTATTTAAAACATAAAAAATGAACTGCTATGTTTTCATAATTGAGCATTTGACTTGTACGTTTTTTCATTACCAACATTTTCTTATTCTCTTTAAAATGAACTTGTGAAAATACACGTTTTCGAAATAAACATGTGAAAATAAAGTTGAATAAAACAATAAATATCCTAGCATAAAATCGCTATTATTAACACGTAATGAACATAATATAACAAACAAACTTTTCAAATAACTATTCTAACTTTGCGTTGTGAAATAGTAGTAGTTTTTAATTGGTAACGCTGTCATTCAACCCCTCAAATTAATTTATAAAAGGTATCTACATTCGCCAAAGTTGCTTCTAAGTTGACATACATAGATAACTACGTATGTGTAGGTATATTGAAAATTTTCAAAATCCATGAACAAAATATTTAATTGATTGCAAACCTGACATTTAGGCATGAAATAGTATGATGGCTCGTGGAAAATCGAATCACTTAAAAAAAAAGTTAACACATTGACAATTGAAAAGTATATTTCACGAAAGCACATTTTAATACTAAAAGTCAAAATAAATTTGAATAAGAATATTTGTTTTCCAAAATATACCGTTTTTTTTTTAACAACGGATTGAGTTACTCAATGTGTAATCATTTCCTCAACTGGTGTGAAAATTAATTTTTCAATTTTTAAATTTAAATTTCATGTTTTCGAACAAACACATATAAATAGACAGTGTTGAACAGAAAAGTAAATAACAAGATAAAATCTGCAAATAAAATTTACTTACGTTTACTTATGCATGATTTGTTACCACCTATTTATCTACTAATTTTCTTTTCAACTTTTACGTTGTAAAATCATATATGTATCACGGTTATAACTTGTGCTTTCTTAGTGAGACTTGAGATTCCTTTAATAAACAAATATGTATATTTCTTGCATATTTATTTATTTGATTATACTTTGTTCACAATTAGCTAAAATTGATACATAACTTGAAACAGACATACAAATTTGATGAAATTGTTCTTTTTTTACGTAAGACTACTCGTTGATTGTATTTTTATCGTCTGCATTTCGATATAAAAAGATTAATGTGTAGTCAGGTTGGCTGAGGGGTCTAATAAGACGTTAGATTTAAGCTCTGATGCTCGAAAGGGAGCGTGGGTTTGAATCCCACACCTGACAGTTTTTTTTTTGTTATTGGCGTTCTTCTGGTCGTCGAAATCCCCCTGGGTGAATTGGCACCAGTCCACTGGAGTTAACATAAAATTAACAAACAAACAAATTTTGCGATTATTTTTTACTTTTACATAAGACTAGTCGTTGAATATATATATATTTTCGTCTAGAGTTTCAATATTTTGATAAATCAGTACCCATTTTTGAGACTTCAACACACTTCAGACGACTATTTAAGCTTACAACTGAGTCTGTTGAGTATTTTCGCACTGGCGAAATTTGCCACAAAATGAATGCTACATTATTTTTGAAACAATAAGCCGAAGACCTGCAGTTCTTATATATCTTTTGTTTATATAAAACAATTCCAGCCCCGTCTTGATACATATAGATGTATCTGGTCTTCGCCTAAATCACTAACACACCAGCTAAACCATCCCGTGCATTCTTGTTTAATTTTTAAACAATTAACAAGAGGTACAGAAAACAGTTAGTTAGATTTTGAAGTTCTATCTGTCGTATTGAACGACTTTACGTGTCTCACAAGTGTGTCTCATCAGATATACCTATTTACAATCATGTATGTAATTTAGGTTTTATGTCAATTTTGTCTAGTGGGTGGTAAATTGATGGAATGGAAAAAAAATAGATGGTTAAGAATTAATATATTTACTTTTGTAACAAAAATGGAAAATTTACCAACGAATTCCAATCAAAGAGATGTCTTAGGGATCTTATATAGATTTTTTATTTAGATAGCGCATTAATTCAATTAAAGTTATATTAAATAAAATTACGACAAATAATAATCGCTAACTACACGATTTGAAAATATCCCATTACTACACATATCAAAACTTGACAAACTACAAGGAATTTAAGATCGTGGCGAACTCCATCTAAAGATTTAAATATTATAAATACACGACATAGAAATAAAGTGGCTTCGTCTCATTACTAACGAGACCAAAATGAGTGGATGAATATTTCAAATTCCCTTTTTCATGAAATTTTGTAACGACTTCATACCTGTTTTACTGAATGACACTATAGAAATTGCCAAAATGCAACGAATGCAAATGGAAAATTTACATACCGTACAATTGCAGGGATGCCATTTTCAAAACACCTTTAGGTCGTCCAAAATTGTCACGCACTTAGGTACACACAAAAAATTCAAGGAACGCAATTACAATCAGTGCAATTATATATTAAGTAAAATTTTACCATTTTGACAGTATACACAATGATGATTCATATGGTGACATACACATAGTTATTTATACACACACATACACACACAAATTCAGGGAATTCAAAAATAGATAGAATTAATCTATTTACTTTGTAACAAAATGGAAAGTTTATAACGAATACCAATCCAAGATGCCTTAGGGACTTATACCTATATCATATTAATTCATAATAGGTACTGACCACCAAAATGACTCTTCTGCAATATTTTGTTAAGAAATTATGCGTATAAATATAAAGACCTAAGCAATGCAAAAGTGAAAAGTTTACGTACCGAACAAATGCGCGACTGTCATTTTCAAAACACCTTTAGGTTTTGTGTAATAAATGCATGAATTTAATAATTTAATCATGTGATCCCCAAAATGTCAATATTCCTACTTAATTCATTAATGTATCTAAAATAATTTTAAAAAACCATAGTGGTAATTAAAAGGATATAAGAATTTGATATCATTCTTGATTAATTATAGTTGATGGCCATCTTAGAGCTCTGGTAATTGTCTCTAGGTATGTATGTATGTATATGTAACCCACAATACACGAATAAAAAAATATATATATTTAAATTTTAATCAATTAAATCTGCTGTCAAAGTAATAAAACGCTAGTAATTAATATACAAATTTTGGTGGCCTTTTTATAGGGCTTGCAATGCGGCTTAAAGACCCGCTGGTATTTAGGAAGTGAAAGCGCTGGAGTTTACGATATAAAAAAAGTGCGGGTATTTAGGAGGTAAAAAGCGCTTATACTTAGGAAGTGAATGCGCTGGTATTTAAGAACCACTGGTGATTAAGGGAGATTAATTATTATCGATTAATTCGATCAATTAATAAGTACACTAAGCAATTAAAACCGGTTAGTAATTAAAAACCGCTACGATTTAAGACCCGCTAGCAATTAGGAAGTGAAAGCGCTGGTACTTAAGAAGTAAAAGCGCTGGTATTTTGAAGGTAAAAGCGCTGGGGATTAAGCAAGTAAAGCGCTGGGGTTTTGGAGGTAAAAGCGCTGGAGATTAAAGGAGATTAATTGCGGATTAATTGAGGATTAATTACGGATTAATCCGTTCAATTAATAAAATGCTAAACCCCCACCGTTACTACTTTCGTCAAACGTTTTGACAACGAAAGGGGTACGTTTGATTATAGTTGTTATTTTGCTCAATTAGCTTCAATTTACTTTAAAATCTTGAAGAGAAAGATATCCTATGTACACAACAAATGCATATTTACTGAGCTTTAAAGCTAAAAAATAAGGTGTGGTTCTTTAAAGATTGTTATTGAAATTATTAAATACGTGAAGTGCTATATAAACTGATAATTATGAAGGTGCTGATAAGAAAAGAAAAATATGACAGACAAAACTTATATTTTCAGTTGCGATCGCATTGGGAGCTAAGGAATCTTCATGGGTAAATAACATATTTACTCTCATTAATTTACTTGTGGTGGTAACAGTTATAATCTCGGGGCTGTGGAAAGGTATGTTTTCTTCTGATTTCACTTGATGTCACAATACGCATAATTTCAGTTAACGCCTACAACTGGGCTATTCCTCAAGAAGAAGTCCCACCAGGTGCCGGTACAGGCGGTTTTGTCCCATATGGCGCCCAAGGAATTATCACAGGAGCTGCCAGATGCTTTTTTGCTTTTATCGGTTTCGACTGTATTGCCACAGCAGGAGAAGAAGCAAAAACTCCTAGCAAATCTATTCCTATTGGTGTTGTAGCGTCACTGCTGATAGTATTCTTTGCCTATTTTGGAATATCAACAATTCTTACCATGATTTTACCGTACTACGCACAGGTTAGTAGAATTTTATTATCACTTTTGAATCTTGAAACAAAAAACGTTTTAGCATGAAAAAGCTCCTCTAACTCACATCTATGATGTAGTCGGATGGCCCGAACTGAGAGTGGTGGTAAGTGTAGGTGCTATTTGTGGTCTGTTTTCAAGCCTATTAGGAGCTATGTTTCCGTTGCCAAGAATTATATATGCCATGGCATCTGATGGACTTTTGTTTAAAGCACTAGCGATTGTGCATCCAAAGTTTCAGACACCCTTTATGGGAACTTTGATTGCTGGAAGCATAGCAGGTACCACTATTATTTACATATTATTCCTGTTTAAACAAAGATGAATATTTAGGATGTTTAGCTTGCATTTTTGATGTTGACAAATTAGCCAACATGATGTCTATCGGTACTCTGTTGGCGTACTCAATGGTAGCCGCTTGTGTCCTTATTCTGCGATATGCAGTAGACGACCCAGACAAAAAGTTCAAAGATAAAGAAGGATTTGCTTTAAAAGAGTATTTTGTTCAATTATTTGTCAGAAAATCAACAATTCCAACAGCTATGACTGCATCTCTAGTCGCTTGGCTAGTGTTAGCTTACTGTAAGATAATTATTCAGTTTAACAGAAAATAGGTAATAATTTTGTTTTCAGTTTGCATAGCTTTCATCTTTTCTGGTTTGATCACTGGTTTTGAAACAGACTTAGGAAATGCAGAGCCCTGGCTGCTGTCCATCCTTGCTATTTTAGCTTTAATTTTAATTAGTTTATTAGTGATGGTGGCTCTTCAGCCCAAATCTTCTGTAAAACTAACTTTCTCCGTACGTATTCTAACTTACATTTTTCTGAACTAACCAAAATAACTTTTTAGGTGCCTCTGGTTCCTTGGATACCAGGAATTAGCATTCTAGTCAACGTATATTTGATGACCACTTTACCAACTCACACCTGGGAATACTACGGTTATTGGATGCTTATAGGTTAATATATCAATATTTTTAACTCTACAATATCAGACTGCATTTTTCAGGTTTGGTTATTTATTTTGCCTATGGTATATGGAATAGCACTGAAAGAGCGTTCAATAAAAACAAGCAAAATAAAGAACATGAGACTTTACCAGACAGAAACGATAATCTAAACGATACGTACATGTAGGCTATTTATGATTAAAATTTTCTATAAAAAAATTATTTACTGCAGTTTACAAAATCGTTGCATTTCTGCAAAGTTTTTAGCATGGTGCTTTTGCCAGACAAAGCGAGCTAGTACGTTTTCTTCTTTAGTCGGCGTGTATGCAAAGTAGCAGTCTCTCCACGTTTTAAAAGGAAAATTATAGGAAAATGTAGTGGGGAAAAATTCTCGTCCAAAGTTGATGCGATTTTGTCTCATATTTCGATAAAATTTACCAAGGCATTTGTGAACCTAAAACAAGAAAATATTTTACCAGTAGCGATTAGTTAATTTCCAGTAAATAACAATCTTACCAAAAATCTAACGTAATCAGCGTGGAACCAATTTAACTGGCTACCCGTCTCTTTCGATATTTTCAAATCAGGTGAATGATACCTCCAGATATCACAACTATCGCAGTGCCTCCATAAATATTTGCTCACAAAAATGTATTTATCTAAAAGCAGTTTGTGATTAGATACTAAAGTCACATTTTGGCAAGTATTACATTTGTCGTGTTGAGTCCAAAATTTCCTACATCTCATCTGCATCCACAATTTAAAGTGAGGTAATTTGTAACATTCTGGCAATTTAGCTAGTGGAAAGTTGTCATCTGCCATACTTTGCAAAGCCTTTTTGAGCACATTCATTTGCCATTTGTGCTTGCACGAAATCTTATCGAAAATGAAAAATCTTTTAAGCTGTGTTTTTTCTTCTTCAATTTCCTCGTCTCCACATGTACAGTCGACACATTCGATCACTTGACCGCCACAAGTGCACTGAACGCATTCATCTCGTTGAACTTTGCAACACTCACAACACACCAGATAAAACGGATTTCCACACTCACAAAAAGCAGGACCAGTGCCACAAGTTCTGCTGCATGGGGGTGTCTGTTCTTTGCAGTCTGACGATTTTTCTGGTTTCTGTGGCTCTAATTCGTGTGTAGAAACCTGGGTAGCGGTAGCGTCTTCTTCTAATTTTTCTCCAGTGTCAACTTCTTCGACTTTGTTTTCGCTTTTCACAATTTCTTCATTTTCGTTTTCTATTTCCTCTTCTTCAGTTACTTGTTTTTCTTTGTTTTCGTCACGTAATGAAGACAAGTTACTTCCTCTACTAGATCGTCTGCTACTACTAGGTGGTAACATTTCATTCATAAACTGATTATAGTCGTCTTTCATTTTTGCTAAATATTGTTCATACACATGCATACAGACTGAATGTTGTTGTTCAAATGTTTTAAAAATAGCCATACAATCACAATCTGGAGTCTTTAGTGCGCTGTCAAGGACATATACATTCCCTTTTGGTGTTTCTTTCACTCCGACAATTTGATATTGGATTCTACCACCCGGCACGTGGGGCATTATAGCTTGCATGTGCCTTTCTTTTGCTTCTTGCCGTGCTTGTTTGGCACAAGTACAGTCAATCGGCGGTCGCATTCCTGTTATCACGTATTTAGGACCTCGAGGAGTAGAAGCAACACCGCCTATCACGTATTTATGTTCTTGTCTTTTCATAGTGGTCATGACATCTTTTCCTTGTTTGTAAACTTGATATTTTTTAGCTCTTTTTTCGTACTCTTTCATACAGTCGCATGGTTTTCCCATTGATATTCCTTCAATTATGTGAAAGGTTTCACTATCCGTTTGTTTAACCCCTTTTATAATAAATTTCGCAGCCCTACTTCTCCTGTTTTCCTTACACCTTGGACATTGACATAATGGCGTATCGAGCATTTGCTGTACGGCTTTCTGACACTTACAAAGTATCTTATCTTCGACTTCCTTATCCAGCTCATATTCGATTATTTTATTTTCATATTTCTTTAAGCAGTCGCATAATTTACCTTCAACAACTCTGTCAATTATTGGAATTACATCGTGTGATTCCGTTTCCTTCATCCCAGTAATAATATAAGTTATATTTTTCATCCTTCTCTCATCTTGACACTGTTTGCATTGACAGAGAGGCGTCTGAATAAATTTTTTGTACTTCTGCTTGCAACTGCAGGGTTGCTTTGACTGTCCACCTGGTCTCAAAAGGTGGTACCACTGGTCATAAAGCTGTAAATTCTTGGCGTGCTTACATGGTTCCTCTTCTCTCTCCTTATATTTACCGCATCTCGGTGATTGTATATTTTCTGGTGATTCGCACTCATCCCCAGTCGATTTTATGTTCTTTTCCTTTTTGTTCTCTGCACTTGGCTGAACATTGCATCCACAGGAACCCGGTTGGTCTTCGTAATGGCATTTGTCTTCTCTTCCTCTGCTTCTACCTTCCGAAAAACATTCGCTCGTAACTTTTGCACTTTCTGATCCATATGTACACTGCTCTTCTGATTTTTTGGATTCCAAGTCACATCCGCAAGTGTTCTGAATACTTTCTGGCTCTTCACCGTCCGAAACACATCCACATGTATTTTCTTGTGGTGCACAAACGCACGATTCTGGTTCATCATCGGCGAAGTAGCAAGGTTCTGGAGAACATTCACAAGAAACAGAACGTTTTGAAACGTCAATTCCAGCACAGACACAATAAAGTGTATCGTCAACAACTTCTTCCGTTTCCTCTTGGGTCTCGGATTCTAGTGTTTTATTCCTAAAGTTATCGCAAGGGATGTACCTTGAAGGTTTCAAAAGCTTTGGTACTGGTTTAAAGTTAACAAGTTCTGCGTACATGTTCTGAGCTATTCGAAGTTCGTTTTCGATGTCGTCATCGAAGTTTCCTGTTTGACCTTAAAAACGTATTCGTTATTGTTGCGCGCTAGGGTAGGATTTCTTTTTGAATTTTACTAATAACTTTAAAATTATGGCAACAACTGTACCGTTTACCCTATACTAGAGACCCTAGATATACTTGTCAAGACAAGACTGATTTTGGCAGATGACCCACTCTTCTAAGAAAATAAGGGTGGGTGGGCGGGGCTAGTACTTGTCAAGATGAGACTGATTTTGGCAAATGACATATGATTTTTCAATTTGTCATTTTTTTATTTTTAGCAAGTATTGCCCCACCCACGCAGCCTTTATTTTCTTAGAAGAATAAGTCATCTGCCAAAATCAATCTTATCTTAACAAGTACTAGCCCCGCCCACCCACCCTTATTTTCTTAGAAGAATAAGTCATCTGCCAAAATCAGTCTTATCTTGACAACTACTAGCCCCGCGCCCACCCACCCTTATTTTCTTAGAAGAGTGGGTCATCTGCCAAAATCAATCTTATCTTGGCAAGTATGAGACTGATTTTTCCAAATGACAGATCCTCTAACAAAATAAGGGTAGGTGTGCGGGGTTGTACTTGTCAAGATAAGACTGATTTTGGCAGATGACCCAGTCTTCTAAGAAAATAAAGGGTGGGTGGGCGGGGGTAGTCCTTGTCAAGATAAGACTGATTTTGGCAAATGGCATATCCTCTAAGAAAATAAGGGACGGTGGGCGGAAGCTAGTACTTGGCAAGATAAGACTGATTTTGGCAGAAGACCCACTTTCTTAAGAAGATAAGGGTGGGTGGGCGGGGCTAGTACTTGTCAAGATAAGACTGATTTTGGCAGATGATCCACTCTTTAAAGAAAATAAGGGTGGGTGGGGGGGTTAGTACTTGTCAAGACAAGACTGATTTTGACAGATGACCCACTCTTCTAAGAAAATAAGGGTGGGTGGGCGGGGCTAGTGCTTGTCAAGATGAGACTGATTTTGGCAAATGACATATGATTTTTCAATTTGTCATGTTTTTATTTTTAGCAAGTACTGCCTCACCCACGCAGCCTTTATTTTCTTAGAACAATAAGTCATCTGCCGAAATCAGTCTTATCTTGACAAGTACTAGCCCCGCCCACCCACCCTTATTTCCTTTAAAGAGTGAGTCATCTGCCAAAATCAGTCTTATCTTGACAAGTACTAGCCCCGCCCACCCACCCTTATTTCCTTTAAAGAGTGGATCATCTGCCAAAATCAGTACTAGATTTTGGCAAATGACATATCCTCTAAGAAAATAAGGACGGTGGGCGGGGGGCCAGTACTTGCCAAGATAAGACTGATTTTGGCAAATGACTTATTCTTCTTAAAAAATAAAGGCTACATGGTTGGGGCAGTACTTGCTAAAAATAAAAAAATGACAAATTGAAAAATCGGATAAATGAGAAATCGGAAAACTGTACAACTGTATAATCGGAAAATGCAAAACTGAAATATCGAAAAATTGAAAAAAAAACAAATCTTATAAAATCGAATTCGAAATTCCAGTTTCATTTTTTTTAGCTTTTAGATTTTTCAGCTTTTAAATATTTCATTGGATAATTTGTTTGACAATTTTGCAGTTTTTAAATCCAATCTTTTGATTTTTCAAGTTTTAACTTTACAATTTTGGAATTTTTTGATTTTTAATTTTTCGAGTTCTCAAGTTAAAATTTTTCCTTTTCACGATTTGTCATTTTTCCATTTTTTAACTAAAAGAACAAATTTATTCGGAGCGAAATTATGAAAAATCGAAAAATCCAAAAATTGAAAATTAGAAACAAAATTTTCAGATGTTTTAAAGTTACGGTAAACATGGCAGATTGCTGATCAAAATTACTTTTCACTCCTTTCCAAAAACCCGGTGACAAAAAATCAAAAATCGAAAATTTAAAAAATAAACATCTATTTTCTCGAGATTTTTAAAAATCAAATAAGAGAAATAGGAAAATTGCCAAAATTGTAAAATTAAAAAATCGAAAGTTTTTTTCAGTTACCCAGAGAAATCAAAAATGGAAAGATAGATCAAAAAATTGAAAATTTAAAAAGCGGAAATTGAAAAATTCGAATGTTGAAAAATCGAAAAACTGGTCTAGTAGTACTCGCTACGATAAAAGACTGATATTGGCAGATGATCTACTCTCTAAGAAAACAAAGGGCGGGTGGGTGGGGCTAGTATTTGCCAAAATATGACTCATTTTAGCCAATGACCTACTCTTCTAAGAAAATAAAAATAGGTCATCTGCCAAAATCAGTATTATCTTGGCAAGTATGAGACTGATTTTTGCAAATGACATATCCTCTATCCTTTTCTTAGAAGAGCAGGTCATTTGCCAAAATGAGTCTTATTTTGGCAAATACTAGCCTGGCCCACCCGCCTTTTATTTTCTTAGAGAATCTATTTGTTATTTGGCACGTACTAGTAAATTTCGACCCATTTTCGACGATTTTCAAAATTTAACTAAAAACTTTTTCTTGGATTTCGGGGCACAGTAGTCACTTCCGGCCTCATTTCTTCGATAACTTCAACCTTTTTTCCAGAATTAGTTAATTAATTCAGTGCATTGAAATATCATAGTTTTTAAAAATTTCAAAAAGTTCAATAAAACACGTACTTTGAATTTTTGTAAGTCTACTTCGCCATTGGACATAGTAAAATTCAGTCTTCATCTAATCAAAAAAAACTAATGAATGATGAAGATAAAACCTCCTTTTTGTCCAATAAAATGACTGATGAGAAAGCAAACCGGGTGGGTGGGCGGTGCCGTTTTGATTTTTTTAGGCATAAATTGGACCACTTCACAAAATGTAATTCAATTTTCATCTCATATTAAATAAAATAAGGCAGTGGAATAGCGATGTGGAGGTGGGTGGACTTCATTGTACCTTTTAGCCTATTTTTCAATTGCTTGTCAATGTAAAATCCACAACCAATAAAATGAGTGATTAATTTCATTGGCTGTTAATTAAAGACAAATCTCATCTTGGCAAACATGATATTCTGTATCAATATAGGGTTAAAGTGATTAAAATTCTGGCGAAAACGTCGAGATTTAAGGAGAAAGAACTTAGGAATCTCTAAACTTAGAAACTCTGAAATCTGTAGAATCTCTGGAATCTCGGTTATACAAAGCAGCCATTTGTATCATTTTTTGTGTATATGTAATAATAGAAAAACTGTAGTAATTTTTGTAATCGAGTCCATAAGATATTAGATTAATTAGAAAAATATAAAAATAATATTTCAGCTTTGTATATATACTTTCCAAAGTATATCTAGGGTCTCTACCCTATACCAAGTTTAAATGCAGCAAGTGTACTTACTTTCGCTGGTTTGTTCAGTTACATGCTCGGAAGAATCTGCGACGACATCTTCATGTGTCCCTTTTCCTGCTATTTCTATCTTTCTTTTTAGTTCTGCCTAAAATTTGATCTTACAAAGTTAGTAAGAACATTGTACCATTACCAACCAAATAACAAAAGTAGGGACTCTGAGGACGCTGAACATGTTTGTTGGTATATATTCCACTAAACTTTGGAGGTTTTTTTACAAAAGTGTAAGGAACCAAATAGGGAGATGGATATTTGACTTTTTTCTTTTTTATTGTTGCTTTTTTAACAACAACAGGTGGTCTAGGAGGTGATGGTATCCTTACATGTAACTCCCTCAGCGTGCTCATCATTGTTAAATGCACAACACCACTCAGTAACAATCTGTCATTGATGGAATATTTTTTCCGGTTGGGGTTAATCAGTTGGTACAAAATTAAGAGAAATTCGACCGGACATTTACAACAATTCTTTAACGCCTTCTTAATATGTCTGTGATTCGGCCGCAAAACCAGACCAAGATAAGCAATATTCTCCTGAGTGTTTATGATGGTATCTTCTGCTAAATCCTTCAGAATGCAGTGTCTCAAATCTTCAACTGTCGCAATCTGCCGAGGTGACAGTTCTTGGTACCATGCAGGACCTACCAGTTTAACAACCCTTTGATGCCCAGAATTCACTAAAAACAAATAGTAAAATATAATGGAAAAAAAACTAATTCATTGCCAATACTTGAAAATTTAGCCTCTTTCAATCTATTCTTAACCATTATTTTAAATTTCGCATGAAATTCCTTTTGTTTCTTTTCTTGTTCTGATAACCAGACTTCATCAACAAATATCCACTTAGGCGGACCACCACTGAAGTATTTTGTTTTTTTAACTCGAATTCGTTTTGGTTTTGGTTGGGTTTCTGTAGGAACATATTTTGCAATAGTTTCCTGAAGATGAATCTTTGTATCTCCGGCATCTAGCTTGGTGTCCGTTTGTGAAATATCGTAATCTAATACGGTATCTGGTTGGGGCCGAAACTTTTTAAAGATATTCTGTTTCTTTTGAGTAGTGGTACGAATTATGTTGCAGACGGGTGCACATGGGTGAAACTCATCGTCCATAATATTGTTCATAAACTCATGTCTGCTATGTTTCTTTCGAATATTCATTGTGTATTAGATTTTCTGTTAAAAATTTCAAACGAATAAGAAAAACATAAATTTTGACAAGCAAAAAATTTTTGACTTTAGAAAGCTATGTTGTCATTTTTATTTTAGTTTTTAATTTCACTTTTACATGGAAAAGTTATCATGGGGAATTCAATAGTACACCACTACGCACTACCACAAAAAAAAACAACAATAGATTAAAGGTAAACATGTCGAACGCTATTAATAATTCTGTAAATTAAATTCTAGAGAATCCGTGCGTGCCGTAAGTTGCAAACTCAAGGCTGGGCGTTTACGTTGACAGTTTTCCTTGATTAAGAATTCAGTAGCTGTCATTATCTACCGATCAAGAAAACAAGCTAAAAATATGTAACTTATTAAGATATTTTTAAAATAAATTTCAACCGAAACGGAAAATCTACTTTTTCATAATCTAGGAGCTATGAAACATCTAGAAAACACGAAATTAGCAAATCACCAACTAGATTCTGTGTAAGTTTACGCTACGAAAATAAAAACAGACGATTCCATTTGTGTCCTTTAGTGAAATAAATCACAAAGTGTGTAATTTACTTTATTTCAATCAGTACTAAATTATATTAAAAATCTTCTTTCTTGACAACATCTGGGCAGTACTTAATGGTTCACTTTATTTTTTCTTGCTTTTTTAAGGGCTTCCAGTTTTTCTAGCCGACGTTTATGCAACCGTTCTTGCAGTTGTTGCCGATAAATTTTTTGCTTTTCCTCTTGCTGTCTTCGCCATATCTCGTCGATAAACTCCCATTGTGGGGGGCCGCCACTAAAATACCTCGTACCTTTCCTTCGTTTCCTGATTTTTGCTTTTATTTCCTTGGATTCATTTGGAACATAAGTCGCATCTGTTTGTTGAATATGGATTTTCGTGTTCCCAGCGTCCATTTTCAAATCGGTCTGGGAAATATCGTAATCCAAACAAGAATCTATTTTTGGCCGTAATTCTTTGAAAATGTCCTTCTTCTTAATCGTCGTAGTTTTCGGGATGTTACAGATGGGTTTATCGGGATGAAATATGTCATCAAGGATGTTGTTCATAAACTTATGTTTTTTGGGAATCATTTTTTAAAATGGACGAAAACACAAGGTTGATGTAACACTCACAATTTTGACAATACATTAAGATATGAAGTTTGAAAATAACAACGTGATTAGTATTTGACTGCAGTGCCTACTTGCTGTAGAGATCGCAAGATCCAAGTTCAACACAACTATTGTAAAGTGGCGCAGAAATACAAAATGGGTTGGGACAAGTTCACTTTTAAATTTATGGGATGGGCCTACCTTCAAAAGTCGAGCCTTTTCTACCTTGGTATTTCCTGTTTAAACTATCTGTAGAACCTTTATTCCTTTCAGGTAAACAGTCTGAGAGATTAGGACAGTAAATTATTACTACCATAATCCTAAACCCCTCTAATAACACAGAAAGTCCGTGTTCGCTATTTCGTTGTGTATACTTTTGTAAAATTTAATTTAAATATGTCTTATGTCTGACATAGGGAACTACGGTGTTTTTCTTCTTTACTTAATTCAATAAACATGTACCCTAATAGGAACACAGTTGGTTGACAATAAGAAACTAGAACGCTGTTTTACTTACACTAAACTTTTATTTTTGTGTTATATACATATCACGTTTTATATGAAACGATATATGTTTGCAACAGTTCTAACATATCTCTTCTAAATTTAAGTTTCTTTTCTGAGGAAAAACCTTGTAAAACTTCCCCAATTGCCATCATTAAAAACTGATCACTCACTGGTGGTAATGAAATTTCAACATTGTTTACTTCTTTCTCTTCAGTACTAACGTTATTTTCAAAATGATTCATTTCTTCGAATTGGACTTTAGTAGTAGCAGTTGATGCCTCGCTAAAAAATAAACATAAATAATCACAATCAATTAAAAAAAAAATGCTATATACTTACAGACATTTAGGAAGGTATGGAACCAACCACAACATGTTATCAAAAAGTGTGAGCTCGTGAGACTTCTTTTTTTGTAAGGGTTTTCCAAGAGGAGGAAAATCTGTATATTCCTGTACAAAATTATCAAGAAGTTCTTGCCATCTACATTGAGCGGTCGCGACTGAAATTGTTGGAAACTTAACAAAATATTTTACTTTACTATTAGTTCTTACCATCAAGGTTCAACAATTTGGAAATGACGACCCATGATTTCCTTTTTTTCCTTTTGTTGTGATATAAGTCATGATTTTCATCATACAAGTGAGGAAGTTGTTTCATAACTTTGACTAATTCTTCGTCCACTTCGTAATTTTCATTTTTTCCTTCGTACACTATTCTTATACTACTCACATCAATATCTTTTTCCAAGAGACACAATAAAATTTCCCTTAAACTCGATTGCAGATCCTAGAAAATTATTAATACAGAACTAATTTTTTCTGGATTGAGAAGGTGACTCACCATTATGAAAGTTCAAAATGCCACTCGTACTTACAAATCTGTGTTCACTACGCTGAATGCAGAACTAAATAACATTTGAAAATTTTAAATGCTCGCAGTCAGAAAAAGAAAACAAAACCAGAACTCCGATTGTGCCCGATTGGTCGGAATTCGCATTTGTGTTTTCAGTACGCCAATAGCTTACATTCTCGTCACTAATTACAAAGAGAAGGAGGGGGGTAGTTGGAATAAGAAAGGGAAGCTAGCACACTACAATTGTTTTCGAAAACGTACAAGTTCCTCTGAATTTGTTTCTGTTGAGAACTGTATTTTCATAAATGACATTTTGCTATTTTATTTTTATAACAATTTGAGGTTTTTTCGTTGTTAGCTTTTTTTTGTAACTGTTTCAAAGCGTTAATGAAGCAAACATTTTCAAAATGCGTTCATTTCGACAACAAATTCATTGTATAATTTTCATACTCTTCAAAAAAAAAAAAAAATGGTAGGAGTTTTTAAGGGTTTAGATTTTTGAAAAACAAATCAAAATCATATACCATTTTGCAATTTAATTTTGGATCTGCAAAACTGAATGCTTTGTAATCTTACAGATTTTTTAAAGTTGTCATAAGCGTGGTAAATTTTTAATCAAAAGTTTCTGTCTGATGACGTCGTCCCAAATTTTGCCAAATAAATTCCATCCAAAATGTGCAAAATATGATGAATTTTTACTTGTGATTTATCATTGCATTCATATTTTTTAGATTTGTTTATACAGGTGGCTCCAAAAATTAATGAATGAGTACATTTATTTTATGGATTAAACCAGGGACGGCTCACTCCATTTTCCTAGAAAATTTTGGGAATACAATACCATTATTTTTAGTATTATACTGCACCAGTCCAAGTTGATATACGTGTCCTTGCAAAAATGTTGATGACGTCATCGCAAAATTGTGTAAAGAAAAAAATAACTCGAAAATTCTGCATGTTTCATTGTACTTCAAAAGCGAGGGATGTTCTGTCAAAACAACTTTCAAGCAATTTTTTTACTAATTTTGAAATTGATAAAGAAAAAAACTTCTATACATTGTAATTCAATCCAAAAAAAAATATACGAGGTATATCTTTTTAACCACAAAATGTTCCGATTTTCTGTAGGATTATAGCCATTTCAATTCATTTCAAAAGATTGCATCTTTCGGAGGTCCGGTCCGTGGTCATCTTTGTTCTTTGGCCAGCAAATATCTACCTGACTGCAAGTATACCCTTATCCATTTTGGATTAGGAAGCAAAGTAAAGAAGAACACTACAACAGTAACTACTTAGTAAAATTTTACAACTGTTACTTTGTGGGTTGCATTGAATTTGTAATTTATGGTATTGTCGGTCCAACCTTCATTTAACTTTGAAATACTAATAAAATTTTACTAGATACTCTTCAAGTGATGGAACTTTACCTGAAAAATTGTTTTAATAATAATAATAATAATAACAAACTTAAACAATATTAGCACTTGTGGAGTTAATAAAATTTGTTATAGTAGTGTTGTATTTATTATAAGACACATTTTCCAAAATAGTATCTAGAAATGCGGTTTGCACATAAGTATTGCAACATCTGACTTATTTAGTTTCACCCTTATTTCTACTTCTCTGGATTTTAAAATTTAAATTTAAAATAAACACTAAAATTGTTGCAAAGTTTACAGTGGGTGCGCTTCGTGGTTTAGACCGGCGAAGGATTAAGGCACTCCAGGTATCCAGTGTAACTAGATATAACTTTGGACCGAAGTTGATGATGGCCCAGATACTTTCCACTGTAATCATTTAATAGCGAATAGGTATATTTTCTTCATTTGTAATTGTTTTGAATTTTAAAGCGTTTCAGTTCCTTGAGGGATCAACTCCAGTTCAAGGTCATATCCATTGCACTGGTACCTGGAGTGGAGTATTTCCCCTTAGCTCCTGTCCAAACTGATATTGTACGACGAAAGATATTTGCAAATGACTCCAATTATGGGAATTACAGCTGTAAAATTTCCGACCACTTCGGAAAATGCACCCAGCATAAAACTGTCAATCAAGATTACTCGCCATCCTTACCTTCCAGGACTGTATTCGATTCAATAGGTGAACAGGTAGATTGTTAAACGGACCGCTTTCAAGGAATTTAATGTTAAAATTTAAGGACACATGAAAGTGAGGTTCTTAAAACTTTTTAAATCTTTGCAAATACATATTTCCTAGAAAAATCCCAATAAAAATTAACTCTACCATGATTCATATATGAATGCTCCAAAATTTGAAGTCCGGCTCTGGCTGAAGTCGTACCTCCGTTGGGAAGGTTTCGTAATGGTTTTATTGCAGGTTGCGGTCCAAAATACTAAAGACCCCTCATAAAGTAATTGACGGCGTTTGCAATTATCTTTCGTCCTACTTTAAGAACAGCGATTGTAAAATTAACACACCTAGATACATTTTATCTGTCCCTTTTAAAGTTAAGTTGCTCCGTTTAACTTTTGCCGGGTTTTACACGACATCCGCCATTCGAATAACATTTAACAGTCTTGGAGCAGCGTTATTGGACAATTAACAATTTTTCAGTAAAGTAAAAAATTTTAAATGATGTTAGTTATTGC